TTCCCCACACTTGTTATTATTCTCATTCAAGTGATCGAAAGCATTTGACATTCTCCCCAAATTATTTTCTATTGTGGATGCTCTTATGTTATCATAATATAGAATCCTTGAGTATCTTTTCATTATATTGTTACGTGATTTTTTATTTTTTTTTAGCAAGGAGATAATTACTATTTGAGAATATATATTAAATAAATTATATTTTTGTGGTATAATTTATAAATACATAAAAGAGATAAATCATAGTATGAAGATTTAATATAACAAATTCGGTCGATAAGGTATTGATTGTTACGTAAATTTTAGTATTATATTGTATGAATTAAGGGGGTTATATAGCACGATCATGTCCTTAACACATAATAAGTTACATGATATTCATACTATATAAATCAAACTTTAATTAAATGGATCAATTCCAATTAATGTTTGAAATGGATTATAGTTTAAGAGAGAGTAAGCCAGACCAACATGCTGCTCTCGTTAGATGTCGAATGAATTTGTAACTTTGTAATTACTAGTGTCATTATAGTAATACTAAAGTATCATTTTAATTATACTATAGTTTTATTTGATAATATACATTATTGCTTGAGCTCTATTTTTTTTTTTTTTTTTTGGTTTCATTTTCCCCCCACACTAGTTTAATTATAGTAATGTTGAAGTATTATTTTAATTTTTAATCGCACTTCAGGTCACTTGACAATATATGTTATTGTATTGCTTTGAATTTTAGTTTCATTTTCTACGCACATTAGTTTAATTTTCCACGTATGCTAGTTTCATTATAACAATACTAAAATATCATTTTAATTATACTATAGTTTCATTTGACAATAATGTGCTATGTTTTTAGTTTCATCTCCCACACACTAATTTCATTATAATAACACTAAAGTATCATTTTAATTATAATACAATTTTATTTGACGATCATGGTCTACAAAGCTATAACAACTGTGTACTAGCGGACAATCATGTGAATCACAGCTTAAATATATTACACTCGTTTGTCACTTCACCACCATCTACCGTTCGCTCGTATATTGGCTATGTTATTGATAGTTGCAGTACAATTATGTCTTCATTTGTTTTTGTTTCAGTCAACTTTATTCCTAGATCAGATAATAGCATCTTCTGTGTTTTAACAGCCTCCTGTGTATTGGGATGTATTCCCACTCGATATTATAGCGGCTTATTTCTAATAAAGTTACCGCAGTTTCAATTCCTTTCCAAAAAAAAAAAAAAAAAAATATTACACTCGTTTGTACTAAAAAAAACGTTGGGTCACATGATAGTTTGGGTCTTTTGAGTTTTCACACACTAAAGTTGAAAACAGGAATGGATAGGTAAAAATGGAAAAGATAGATAATAGGCAGTAAACGATGCATGCAGTTTATACTGACTTCAAGTTATAAATGGAAAGGGCAATAGGATAGGCTCTGAACCTATCATTGTGATTTTTCTGTGATCATAAGTTCTCAACAATAATTCTCTTCACAGTTCATTATATTCCTTGGAAGATCTCAATGGCATCAACCTTTGTAAGAAGGTACGAATGTATGATATGACCTTTTAGGTTACATTATAAAGAAAATTGGCCGATTATTTGCAGATCCACAGGATAAATTCGTTTTGTGACCCTTTATTGAATCAGTTTAAGTTATTTATAACTGATTAACGACTCAAATCAAGAAGTTAAGTAGTCTAACACTAAAAGATTAGCTTAGAAACTTGTAGTTATCAAATATGATATGATTTTTGAGTTGCATTTACATATTTGCATGTATATATCTTGATCAACATAATTTATGGGTTTCCTTGTTTAGGCTAGAAGGTAAGGTGGCGCTGATCACCGGCGCCGCCAGCGGCATCGGAAAAGCTACGACAAAACTGTTTTCCCGGCACGGAGCTAAGGTGGTGATAGCGGACGTTCAGGACGATTTAGGACGGAAAGTTTGCGGCGAATTGGAGTCCGGTTCAGCCGCCTTTGTCCACTGCGACGTGACGAAGGAAGCTGACGTCGAAAACGCCGTCAACACTGCCGTCTCAAAGTTCGGCAAGCTCGACGTGATGTACAATAACGCCGGCATCGGAGGATTGAACAAGCCCAGCATCCTCGACAGCGACAATTCCGAGTTCGAGCAGGTCGTGAGAACAAACCTCGTGGGCGCATTCCTAGGAACCAAACACGCCGCTCGAGTGATGATCCCGAAGACCCGAACCGGCGTGGATGCATAATCACGACGGCGAGTGGGGCATCCGTAATCGCCGGCGCCACCACGCACGCGTACACGAGCTCGAAGCACGCAGTGGTGGGGCTGACGAGGAGCACGGCGGTGGACCTTGGGCGGTACGGGATTCGAGTCAACTGCGTGTCGCCGCACCTGGTGGCGACGCCGTTGGCCTGTGGTTTCTATAACTTCTCCGGTGAGGAGGAATTGGAGAAGGTGTACTCCGCGTTCGGAGGGGAGCGGCTGACGGCGGAGGATGTGGCGGAGGCGGCTCTTTTCTTGGCGAGTGATGAATCAAGGTATGTGAATGGGGAGAATCTTGTTGTTGATGGGGGTTTTACCATAGTCAATCCCAATTTATGTATATTCAAATGAATATAATAATGTGTAACCCAATACAATTTATGAGTGAATGGTATGTTTGGTTACTCATACATGCCTTTACTTCCCCCACCCCCTCAAACTCTACAATTGAGGTTTCTCTATAAAAATTATCTTATATTATCATATATTGGTCACATATAAGACATGGATGAGACGGGGGCGAATATCTTATCAATAAAATGCTCTAAAGTTTAAAGATGTTAGGTTCGTGTTTGAAAGTTACTCATTTACTTCGAAAGCCCTCCAACATAAAAGTTACAGGGTATTCTCAAACGTTGTACGGTGCATTTATGCATACCTAATAGTGTATGTCGTACTGACCGCGCGAAAAGACCTATTCTCACAGGAACCAAAATATATATATATATATATATATATATATATATATATATATATATATATATATATATATATATATATATAGAATCGCACTCAGGTGCGAATGCTTCGCCCAGGCGCGAAATAGGAATGAATTCTGTTCGTCCACGTGTTCAGATCTAATGGATGAGAAATACTGATTTTTTAAAAAAACGCGGTGGCATTTTCGTAAATAATTGAACATCGAAGTGCAAGTAAAATGTATTACAAGTGCATGTAAAATGTATTATAGGTGCAAGTAAAAATTTACACTGAGCATCAATACTTAGTTGCACCTATAGTTCTAAGTAGTTGCACCTATAGTTGCACCTATAAATTATGAATCCATGCCTGCACATTCACTTTGGAACCATGCCTACACATTCACTTTGGAACCATGAGATTATGAATTTTCTGTTATAAGATTATGAATTTTCTGTTATGAGATTATGAATTTTTAGTTGTGAGATTATGAATTTTCTGTTATGCGATTATGAATTTTCTGTTATGAGATTATGAATTTTCAGTTGTGAGATTATGAATTTTCTGTTATGCGATTATGAATTTAACAAAAAATTCATAATTTGATCAGTAACGCGCCGTTAATTCCACATCCGCAATTTTTTTTTTTTTTGCCTAAAAACGACATCGTTTTGACTTGTGTTCACCATTCTCGGTGAACACGATTCCACGGCATAATTTGCGACATTTTTTATGGAAAATTTCAGTGGCCAAAATTAGAAGGTGAAAAAGTTTCAGGCAAATTATTATGTGGACCATGCAATAATTGTTGAAAATTTCAGTGGCCAAATTTCTGCCAACTCAATCGGTAGAAAGAAATTTTGGACGCATTATTTTTCGTACACTCATAGGTGATAAGGTGAGCATAAAATAAAGTTGAATTGTAGCTAATTTATTGGCGATAAATATAAATATAAATATATATATATATATATATATATATATATATATATATATATATATATATATAAGGTCCAGATCAGGTGAGGACTAATTTAGATCATTAAATCATAATATTGCATCGCTGAAATTAAAAAGAACAAATCACACAGATTAAGTAAATTTTTTTTTTAAAAATATTAAAAAAATATAAAGCTAGGGATAAATCCGTCTTATTAGAAGATATGCGTTACCTATTTAACTCGCACGGGCTTATCTCAATGGTTTAGTGGGTAGTATTTGGGAGAAGAGACCAAGGTCTGAACCTCGACGGCGGCAGTGCGGGAATTATGTCCAAAGTGGGCAGATTCCTTGTGTGTATCAGCATTTGGCCCTGTCTGCTGAACCATTAAGTCACCGTGATTTACAACTTCCCACAATGCTCTGTCGGGTCGGAGTGTGGGGGGCCCTTGGGGTTGGGGACTCAACCTTTGGGAGAAGAATTACCTATTTAAATACGCAAATTCAACCTTCAATTATCTATGCATGAACAATTTCAATATAATCCTGCCTTAATATACTTTAAAGTACTTATTTAACAAAAAAAGCATTGAGCATTATCCCAATCGCGCAATGCGCGTAAAAAACTAGTATATATATATAAGGTCCAGATTAGGTGAGGACTAATTTAGATCATTAAATCATAATATTGCATCGCTGAAATTAAAAAGAACAAATCACACAGATTAAGTAAAAAAAATCTTTGAAAATATTAAAAAAATATAAAGCTAGGGATAAATCCGTCTTATTAGAAGATATGCGTTACTATACAAAATATTGTGCATTCATATATACTGAGTGTTATGCATCGATAACTCTCTAGTTGTGCATTCAAACATCACCAAAAAAATTATACAGTGGACATTCCAATGTCCTACAATGAACAGAACTAAGTGATCTAAAATCATGTGGCTAAAAAATTTTGATCTAATTTTTGCTTTATTTTTTATTTTCAAGTTACCCTCAATTGTTTAAGAAATAACAAGTTTGCCCTTATTTTTGTTTTGTTCCTCCCTCTTTTCTCGTGTCTTCTTTTTTCCATCACACAGAGTAATAATTCCAACCACTACATCTTGTCGGATGCGACCTTCTTCTTGGCAAGCCTTTTCTCTAGCTTGGGAGCCATGAAAATCTTCGGTGTTCTTCCTCTCGTTGCTACAACATGACTCTATCCACCACGTATGCCAGCTGAATCCCCTGGGGAGTTGCCTTCCTGCTTGTGCTCCTCCTCTTCATGATTTCTTATCAATCCTATTTTCGCGAACTCTGGTTCCCCTTCTCGCCAGATGATTCATTCAAGCTCAATATGATCCAGAAACGCATGTTCTCTCTTTGTCATCTAAAAGGATTCAGATCCAGAAACATTACATTAGAAGCAGTGTCGGCAACCTCTCCTCCGCCGTACACCGCTTCCTTCTCAAACAGCTCCACCAGTCCAAATCCCCAAATGGCAAGGAGCTACACAGCGACCAAGCAGTCCGAGAACTATTTGTCGAAGCTCTAACCGTGTGTGGCAGATGCGACACAGCTTGGGTGAGAGTTTCCATTGCAGCTGAGACGGCGCGACTTGGCTCTCTGCTAGGATTGCAATGAAGTTGTCAAATAGCTTAATCCATCATTTTTATTTGATTTCTTCATGATTTTCAGGCCAAGAGATAAAGGAGAGAGAGAGAGATTTGAGGAAGAAAAAAGATGAAGGAGTCGGCAGGCAAATTCATTTCCCCTTCTCCATCTACTCCAAGTCATTTACTTCAATATAATTACTCCTCTTCATTATTGGTATATTTCCGTTGGCAATGTTTCAATCATTGAAATCATTCATGTTTAATTTATAATCTGTTATAAGCATGTCTCAATTATATCAGTTTGTGGTAAGAATGTTGAAGCCATAAGCCCTTCAAGCGTCCACTCCTTGGAACACGAGCACTGAGGCAACTCTGATGCTGCTGCTAGGAAGGATTCCAAGGAAGTGAGGAGTGCTAGACATGCTTAACATGCATTGTGTGACTATGAGAGGCAATGGGCTGGAGTGAAAATTTTGATTTGGACTTTTGATATTCAAACAGACTAAGACGACTGAACAAAGAAAAAGTCATTTGAAATTGCTTTTTATACGATGTTATTTGGGAACTTTGTGGCAGTAAAAACACTTTGTTTCATTCCTTTGGTGTTGATTACTTTGATTTGTATATTGCTGCCTAGCTATAAGCCTATAATATGAACCTAATATGGCTCATAAGAATTTCTTTGAAGTGGTGGCAGGTTGGGTGTGTTAAAGAACAACATAATGATAAAATCTAAAATTATAATTTGTATCATGTTGCTTACAAAATAATAATGTATTTATGTATGTTTTTTTTGCATATAATAATTATTAAATTTATATATGTTATCATTTAAAAATTAGAATATATTACGGAGTAATTAATTGTTGGACATGGCGTTTTCGCGCAAAGCGCGTGCCCATGACTAGTATATATATATATATATATATATATATATATATATATATATAATTCAGTTCTCGTGCGATTGGGTGTGTTTTGTGCGGTTGTGCGGTTAAATCTGAGTCATTGATATTGCTTAAATCAACGTCCATGATTAACAAAATGTTTATAAAAAAAAACACGGTGACAATTTGGTATTTTTTGCATCTATGTCAAATTTAAGGTGCGTGGTTTGTGTGCTTAAGAAGCGTGGCTTTTGTGCTTATGTGTGATTTGTATGCTTAAGGTGAGTAGTTGTTGAAACTTAAGGTGCGTTGTTTTCCTTCTTAAGGTGCGTGAGTTGTTGAAACTTAAGGTGCGTCATTTTAAAACCTTAGTTGTGTGGTTCATGTTCTTAAGGTACATGGTTTGTGTACTTAAGGTGCGTCAGCCTAAAGCTTTAGGTGCGCGCAGAGGCGGAGCCACCCCTTGGGGTAGGGGGAACCTGGCCCCCCCACCCCACCCCATTTTTAGTAGATATATAGGTATATATTATTATAATATGGATAAATTACACTTTTGGCCCCCCTCATAATTTTTTTTTTAAAATAATCTATTATGTATATATTCAATGAACTCGAAAGTTATACTTTTCGTCCCTAAGTTATGGGATAATTATAGAATTCGTCCATAATTGTTGGTCGTGTTCACTTTTCGTACCTAAGCTATAACTGACGTTGCAAATTTCATCCTTTTAATAACAGGTTGTGGTCACTCTTCCTTTCTAAGCTATACTTCGTTCCTAATGTTTCGTTAGTAAAGGGACGAAATTTGCAACATCAATTACGGAGTATATTTTAGGGGACGAAAAGTAAGCATGACTAATAATTATGAATTCTTCAATTACCCTATAACTTAGTGATTAAAAGTGTAATTTTTCCTATTTTTTTACTATTGTATAATTTTTGTGTGATGTAAAAGTTCAAAAGTAATGTTTGACAATCTTAACGATCGTACACATATAATTATATATTTCATATATTATTGCACATAGTATAATTAAAAATAATTATCAATAACAATTGGCACAATCATATATGGTATATATATAATAATATTGCGTGGTTGGTACTAATATCGACTAAGATGATAAATTTCCTCTATAAATTTGGCCCTCCGACCCCGACTTTCTGGCTTCGCCACTGGGTGCGCGTGGTTTTTTTCGTAAGGTGCTTTGTTTGTGTGTTTAAGATGCGTGGTTTGTGTACTTAAGGTGCGCCATTTTAATGCTTAAGGTGCATCAACTGCACAACCGCACGAGAAACTATACCCGCACCTGCACCCCTATATATATATATATATATATATATATATATATATATATATATATATATGTGGTCAGGTTCCTGTGAGAACATGTATTCCCGTGCGGCATACACCATTAGGTATGCATAAATGCACTATACAATGTTCGAAAATACACCATTATCTGTGGTGTATTTTTGTTTGTGTGGTACATTTTTTGACATTTCATTCTAGTGTATTCTCGAACACTGTATGTTGCATTTATGCATACCTAATGATGTATGTCGCACTGACCGCACGGGAAGACCTATTCTCATAGGAACCAATATATATATATATATATATATATATATATATATATATATATATATATATATATATATATCCCCATTATTAGGACTCTATGTATATGAGTCTGTTTAGAACTTCTTATCCTTGTCACACTGTGACTCTCTACTTCTTATCATTGTCACACTGTGACTCTCTATTCTATATATTCACATCATCTGATCTCATTGTAATTAAGTTCAGAAAATATAATACAATCAGTTCTCATCTGGTATCAGTTAGCTAGGGTTTTGTGATTCATAAAATTAAGAATATGCAGCGCTGCGATGGCAACCTTAATTACCGTGGAGGTCAGCAACGTGGCTTCGATGATCCGTGTCAAATCTGTAAAGGTTTCGGCCACACAGGAGTCAATTGTTTTTGGCGCTATGATGATCCGTGTCAAATTTGTAAACGTTTTGGTCACACGGGAGCCAATTGTTTTGGGCGCTATGATGATCCGTGTCAAATTTGTAAACGTTTTGGTCACACGGGAGCCAATTGTTTTTGGCGCTATAATGATCCGTGTCAAATTTGCAAAAGTTTCGGTCACACGGGAGTCAACTGTTTTCGGCGATATTCAGGGGCTCCGGGTTCTCAGGCTAATTTGGTGTTTCAGAATGGTTTAGTTGCTAAAACCTCGTCAAATTCTCATACTTGGGTTCCGGACACTGGAGCCACAAATCATGCAACTCCGAACATCGCTGCCCTTTCTACATCGGAGAAGTACACTGGTAATGACACTTTACGTGTCGGTGACGGTATGGGTTTATCTATTAGTCATGTTGGCCATGCCTCTTTTAATACCCCTTCTAGATCATTTACATTGTCTGATATACTTCACGTTCCGCGTTTGTCTAATTCTTTATTATCTGTTCAGAAGTTTGCATCCGATAATAAAGTCTTTTTTGAGTTTCACCCCTCCTTTTTTGTTGTAAAAGATATCAATACCAAGGAAATACTTCTTCGGGGCAATAGTTCAGGGGGACTATACACACTTTCATTACCTAGTTCGTCTCCGTCAGCGTTTATTTCCGCTCGTGCCTCGGCTTCCACTTGGCACAATCGTCTAGGTCATCCTCATAACCGTGTTCTTAGCCATATACTTCGTTCTTGTTTGGTTAGTGGGTCTCGTGATAATATTCGTTGTCATAATTCTTTATACAATGCGTGTCAATTAGGCAAATCTGCCCGTTTTCCCCTCCCCCGTGTTGCTTCCTCTAGTTCTCAAGTCCTAGATCTTATTTACACAGACATTTGGGGTCCTGCGCCCACTTTATCTACTTCTGGCTTCCGTTATTTTGTGATCTTTGTGGATGACTATTCCCGTTATACATGGTTCTTTCCTATGAAATTAAAGTCTGATCTTTATGTCATCTTTGATAAATTTCGTACTCTTGTTGAACGGTCCTTTAATTGCAAAATAAAGGCCATTCAGTCTGATTTAGGTGCTGAGTACAAAAAGTTGCATTCTTTGTTTGTTCAATTAGGAATTCAACATAGACAATCCTGTGCCTATACACATGAACATAATGGTCGTGTTGAACGAAAACATCGTCACATTGTTGAAACTGGTCTGGCTCTTCTAGCTCATGCCTCTGTTCCTTTGAAATTTTGGGATTTTGCCTTTGAGACTGCTGTCTATTTAATTAACAGAATGCCATCTTCTGTATTAAATAACTCCAGTCCTCATCTCCTGTTACATAAATCCCCTCCTTCCTATCCTTTTCTTCGTGTCTTTGGGTGTTTATGCTACCCTCATCTTCGACCATATAATCGTCATAAGATGTCATACAGGTCTTCTCCATGTGTCTTCCTAGGTTATCCTGAGTCCTTTAGGGGGTACAGATGCATGGACTTACATACTAATAAGATTTACACATGCAGGCATGTCAGATTTGATGAAGAAGTTTTCCCCTTTGCTACTAAAACTTCTTTGCAGGATCTATCTACTCCGTTTTCTGGACCTTGGGTGGAATCTGTTTTCAGTCACAGCACACCTATTCCTGCCGTGTCCAATGATGAGCTGCCAGAACCGCCGCTACCTGCTTCATTCGAACCAGCCGTGGATCCTGGACAGGCTGCCTCGTCGGGTGATCCTGTGGAGCCTGTTGCTCGCCGGCGAGCGGTCCACGTGGGCGGTCCATCAGGCCCAATGTCCGTACTCACTCTATGGCCACTCGCAGCAACGCAGATGCTCCTCTTTTTGCTCTAGCAGCTCAAGTGCATCCCACGGAACCCACATGTTACTCTCAAGCTGTCAAATATCCTGAGTGGCGTGAAGCCATGGACCAAGAATTCAATGCTCTCCTGCATAACCACACATGGTCTCTAGTTCCACCCACTGCAGGTATGAATATTATTGGCTGTAAATGGGTGTTTCGTACGAAGAGAAAGGCTGATGGTGCTATTGAAAGGCATAAAGCCAGGCTGGTTGCGAAAGGTTTTAATCAGGTTCCAGGTCAGGACTTCTTCGACACTTTTAGTCCAGTGGTAAAGCCTACGACTGTAAGACTCCTTCTATCTCTAGCTTTATCATCTGGGTGGTCTATCAAACAGCTAGATGTTCATAATGCTTTTCTGAATGGTAATCTGGCTGAAACAGTTTATATGAAGCAACCCCCTGGTTATATTGATGCTAACTTCCCGAATCATGTTTGTTTGTTAAAAAGATCTCTGTATGGGTTAAAACAAGCTCCCAGAGCTTGGTTTAATAGACTACATACGTTCTTACTATCGGTTGGCTTTCAAGCATCCAAGACAGATGTCTCTCTGTTCTATTACTCTAAAGACTCTGCTTTGGTTTATCTATTGGTGTACGTGGATGACATTCTTGTAATGGGAAGTGATCAAGGTATTATGTCTCAGCTCTTGTCCAAACTGTCTGCTACATTCAAAATCAGAGATCTTGGTGAACCAAATTTTTTTCTGGGTATTGAAACAGTTAAGAGTGACAATGGGATTATTTTATCTCAACAACGGTATATGAATGATATTTTAAAACGGGCTGGAATGTCTGAATGCAAACCCCTTTCTACACCTATCTCTGTCTCGAAAACTGTCTCCTTCAATTCAGATCTATATGATGATCCCACACAGTACAGGAGTCTAGCTGGAGCACTGCAATATCT